AGGCACAAGAGATGGAGATACTATGCTTAGGTCTATGGAGGAGTAGATGTTATTAGCGAGATTATAATAGGTTGGTTCTTTTCGATTTAGGAGACGCGTGCTCGACGAGAGAAGGAACTGTTCGATCAGTCGACCACGCGGGTCATACTGGGGGTCACCCCATAGCCTGCTATGCGCATTAAAGTCTCCAAGGAGAACATAAGGCTCCGGAAGTTCATCAATTAGAGAGTGTAAATCACGTTTTTGCAGCTGATAGCTAGGAGGAATGTAAATAGTGTAGATTGTGATCAGTTTATCAAAAAGAACTGCTCGAACAGCCACTGCCTCAAGGGATGTTTGGAGTTGTAAGTGTGTGCATGCAATTCCTTGATTCACTATGATGGCAACACCTCCGGATGATGTCATGGCATCAACACGGTTCTTTCGGAAAATAACATATTTACGACGAAAATTTGTGTGTTTCGAATTAAGGTGCGTTTCTTGTACACACAGCACTTTTGGTGAGTGTTTATGTAAGAGTTCTTGGATGTCGTCAAGGTTTCTGAGAAGGCCCCTGACGTTCCATTGTATAATTTGAGTGTTCATGGTGAATGTAAAATAGTGCTGTGTGTACAAAAAGCAAGTGGCTGTTTAGACGGGGAGTTTGGATTCACTTAACAGGGCCGTCACCAGGCCCTGTTATCTGCTTTTTTGTTTTCTTGGCGCGCTCCAAGGAGCCACGCCGCTCTTTCGGCACCAAGGGTACCGACGTATCCATTGCCTCCTCGGAGGCACTGGATACCCGCACGTGCGGGCTGTTAGTTCGAGTTTTGGGCCTCGCCTGGTGAGGTGAGGCCTTGAGACCCGAGGACTCTGGAGTCTCCGGTCTCTGTTTGGGAGTAGGCGGTGTGGCCTGGGCTACAGCTGCCTTGGGGGCAAATGCCACAACCACCAGCTCGGTATGCATGGGCCGAAGGAGTGGCGAGGGCTGGTGCATCAGCGTATGTAGGTTCATAGAATGGAGCGACTCTTCGCCGTGCTTCCTTAAATGTAATGTTCTCCTTCACCGTCATTATTTCTTTTTCTTTTTTCCAGTATGTGCAGGAGCGTGAATATGCGGCATGGTTTCCTTCGCAGTTTACACAGTGTGGCGGTTGTTTGCAGTACTCAGACATGTGGCCTAGGACTCCACATTGCGCACAAGTCTGGCGACCACAACAGGCTTTAGAGCCATGACCATACCTCTGGCAGTGGAAGCAACGACGAGGGTTTGGTATGTACGGCCTGATAGATGTCTTCGTGTACCCTGTTTGAATAGATTCCGGTAGTTTACTGGATGCAAATGTGAGTATTAAGTGTTTTGTCGGTGTTTCCTTATTATCTCTTCTGATGATGATTCTCTGTACATTAGTGACATTTTGGCTCTTCCACCCCTCCAAAAGTTCAGTCTCAGTCAAGTCAAGTAAGTCCATGTCAGATACCACTCCGCGAGTTGTGTTCATTGATCTATGTGGTGTTATGGTTATTGGTATGCCACCGAAATCTGAAAGACGGTCTAGCTTTTCAAATTGTTCTTTGTCACGGATTTCGAGGAGAAGGTCTCCACTAGCCATTTTGGTTACCTTGTATCCTGTGCCAAGAGTTTCGGTAAGACATCTAGAAACCAGGAAAGGAGAGACGGTTCTGGCTTGCTTTTCAGTTTTTTCACAGTGGATAACATGATAGTGAGGATATGTTTCTTTTGGTTGGTTGAAAAAATTTATATCATCGGTGCGTACCCGCTTTAAGACGGTACGATCAGATAGTAAGGGGAATGCTCTGTGCATGCTTGTCTTATTTTTGTTCAGCAGCGTTGGCGGCCACCCACCACGGAGCCCAACGAGGGGACGCTACAAGTTTGCGGATGCTGAAACCTGCAGACGCCAGCCGTACAACGCCACTATAACCCAATGCGCCTAGACCAAGGTAGGCTATTTGCACAGGGTTAACCCTAGCCGCCAGGAAGTTTGGAAGTAAACGGAAGAGAGTAGAAGACAGGACAGATAAATAGTAAGAGATAAAGACGAAGATGTAGGGAGAGAGAGATAGGAAAAGGCGACTGCAGATTTCCCCTGGGTGGGTCAGCCCAGGGGTGCCGTCTACGTGAAGCCGGGGCCAAAGGGGTGTGTTGCCTTTGCCGGGGGGCCTTAAAGGTCCAATCACCCAGCGTCGGCTCAACCCCCAGGATCCCCTTTTCCCCGGACACGGCAAAGCCACGCACGGCTAGGCGTGGGAGGGAGTCAAAACTCCCCCGTTAGCTCGGGAACGGATGCTTGTAGCCTCATTTTTGCAAGGTAGTTGACTATGGAAATTCGTAAGATGGCCTTACGCTGTTATCACACTCGCACTTGATGCAATAATAGATAGGGTTTACGTCCCCGAGCGTCCTGTAACAATACGATTATGAGAGATGTCGTTGTAGAGTGCCCGGGAATTTTCTTCATCGTGTGTTCTTTGAAAGGCACCTGAACCTAAGTACACGGGCCTGCAGCATGTCACTTTCACCAAAATGCAGCCAACATGGCCATGGGGCATTCGATCCGGCAAATGGCTTTGCTGCATCGACCATCAGAGAACTTAAGCGAATTGCGAGGCGGTCAGTGGCATGCATCGAATACAACGGTGAAACGTTGCCTGTATTCACGGGCCTCAAAAACAGGAGAGCCGTCCAAAGGTAGAGAGTGAGGGTGGTCAACAAAGAAAGGCGCCTAGTGTTTGCCCAAGAACATGAGCACTTCACTGACGAGTAGCAAAATGCTGTCTTAGCCGACGACTGGACATTCACCATAAGATGGGACCAAAGGCAGCACGTGTGGAACTAACAACTGCTGGTGAGAAACAGCTCACATGAGCCGAGAAATTTGTATTTAGTACGTTTAGATCGAAATTTTGTATGCCATCATAGTCATGTACACTGCTTAAACGTGCAATATCCAATATTTATTTTATTTAAGATCTAGTAATAATAAATATCACTAAAATTTGAAATGCCATGTTTTCACAGCCAGGGCAATCATTGTTTTGGGAAGTAAGCATGGAGTACGACATTACAACCAGCTGCTTTTATGAAATTGCATTTCAAGATTTTATCTTCGCCCAAAACTCAATTCTGCATATTACTCCAACACTTACCATTGTGAAAAATGGTGTTGAAAGCCCGTAGATGAAGGCACACAGAATTTCGTGCTCCAAAAGTTGAAATACAATTCTTAGAATTTCAAAACTTTTACCGAGTGTGTTCATGCATATCAGGATGTCTAAAAAGGTGCCCAATTCCGTATTTTTGTTTGTATAAAAAAGCTAAGCTCCCCAAGAAACATTCTTTTTCCTTTGGACATATGCCTGAATTCATCCAGCTTGTAGCAGTAGTAGCCAGTGGTCGTTTGTTTTTGAGTGCCTATAGGGTGCACTCCCACCAACCGGCTGGGGAACCATAGCTAGGATAGAGAACAAGTTCACCGCTGACGTGCTGCTCAGTCCAGGACGACGTCAAGTCACGATACCCTCTGAATGGGTCCTACCCTGGCGACAACTTTATTTTGCAGTTCATCAACTCCCCCATTTACAAGTCATGAATAGTTGGAGCAATACTGGAGTCTCGGTATGTGTAAATTCTTGAGTGGCGTGCACAATCTTTACACCTCAATATTATTTACAATGTGTGGGTACAATGGAAATGTCAATGTTACACCGGCAGCTCTCTCAACTTTCGCGGGATGCACTGTGGACCGCTGTAAAGCCAACCGCGGCCTTTGCGCATCCTGTACAGCTCTCCGCCAGGCAGGATGAGGGCTGTCATTTATGCTACCGGAGACGCCACCCGTTACTGAAGCAAAAAAGCACTCAAGATAAAATTTATCACAAAGCTGTGATCCGTGCTAGTTTGGCGCCGCATAAAAGCAGACCCAAGATTTTGCTCAAATTCATGCTGCAACGTCAACAAGCAGTTCGAGTTTGTGCGGTGTCAGATAGGCCTAATTTTGTTTTAGCATAAAAATTCTTGGCCATTAGTGTTCTTGAATAAATTTTCTATCTATTCCTCCTTTTTATAAAGCTCCAATGTGTCGTTTTATTGTTCACATGAGAAAAAGGTGTCTATAAAACATGGAAATGAATATTCTTTTTCAGCGAGTTGTATGCAAATCAGTTGCATTAAAATTATTGATCTTTACGTGTTAAAGTAAACAGTTTTATATATTATCCGATGATATCACTCACGCCATCACATGCCTGCGATCAAGACCGTAAAAGAATGGCCAATGACTAACTCTCAATACGCTCCCTCTAAAAATGCATGCAAAATTCTCTTGCTCACCAGACTCGTAAGAGCCAACACGCAAATGTCTGCGCTAGTGCTGCCTTGTGAAGTATTCTTAAAAAACAGAGTTTGTTGCCCTTTCCTACTCAAAATAACTATTTATTACCTTCAATTCATAGCAATGAAACTGTATTTTTCTCAAGTATTTCTATTGCACTTCACTAACGTTCGTAATCTGGTGGTCTACAAGTTGCAACACTAAATCTAAGGGCTGTTCTGGCTGTAGGAAATGCGTCACATTGTAAGCAACGCTTGTTTCGCGGCAGCGCAAGCTTGATGCGCCCAAGACAGCGAGCATTGTAGCAGATGACGCGAAGCCACGCCTGCAGGCACTGCTGCGCCTGCATTGGTTTGCTTCGATGCGCAGCCGCGCTAATGGCAGTGGCACTTCGCAGAGCGCGGCCACGCGCTCGCGCGTTCACCCTAACAGTGGCCGGCAGTGTACAATACAGAGTTCTACAAACGTATGAGTTGTGACACTTCCCACAGGTCCTATATATCAAAATCGAGAAATGCCACTGGCCGAAAATCACGGGGGCACCTTCATTATCGTGTCACTTGGTCAAAATAAAGACGCTCGTGACGACGCCAGCGACCCCTAGATGCCAGTGAGCCTGAGGTGACGACCCCTAAAATCCGGCAAGAAGGAACACCATTTACTTACCCTTCTGTAACAATAGGTGCCAGCTGATTGAAACTACGGTCAGAGCGCATAGAAGAGATCTTGAAGCTGTGTCTGTTCCACATAGACGAAGACAGGATGCGTGTGGCTGACGTCAGAGCATCATCTTCACGCTGCCAAGAAGATTGGCTACTGGAGTCTCTGGGCTGCTGCATACCGTTGCAAGCCACAACTGTCGGCACGTGAATGCCTTTCTCACGCCAACTCTCCAATAGCTGCTGCTCTTTTTCGCAGAGGCCTTTCAGCTCTGTGATCTTATCCTGGAGGACTCTCTGGAAAAGTGTGTGCACACAGCAACAACCACAGATAAGATTCACATCAATTTTTACAGGTGCTGTCGCCAAAGGGTCGAAAGAAGTTTAAAATGGGGCTGGCTATCAATGAGTATGCAATGACCACAGATAAGATTCACATCAATTTTTACAGGTGCTGTCGCCAAAGGATCGAAAGAAGTTTAAAATGAGGCTGGCTATCAATGAGTATGTCAATGCAGGTGATGCCATATGGTAACACACCCCTTCCAAGTAATACATAACGTCTATCTCGGCCCCACGACCATAAGCAGACTGAGCATCTCAGCACAACTTAAATTGAGTAAAAGAAAACCGAAATATAAATAAAAGCAGCTAAACACAACAAGGTGAGTGCTCACCTTATTGTCTTCAACAGCTTGATTCTCCTCCTCTAGTAATTCTGAGTTCAGGCAAGACCCGTAAACATCATGCTCTGACAACATGCTATATCTGCCACCCTTTCGAGTAGAGGTTTACTTAGAACTGCCAGTCTGTGCATTTAGTCCCTGTGACCAACAACACAGGATAAAAGAAATACAGTGGACTTTCATTCAATGAAACCTGAAGGTACCGGGAAAATATCGTTACGTAGGTGTTGGTGCCCGTGTCGACTGGAGGACTCTACTAGTCATAGAAAAGGTTGAAGTGTCTCGGGTTCAGAACGATTGCTGTCGCACTTGCCTCAGGGACATTTGCAAGTGCAACTCTACATGTATCAATGCGTTCTATTTAATAGAAGTTCCATTTACTGAAAGATGAACAGGGGTGCAGAATACAAGCACAAAATGAATCATATCAGAGGCAATTGTTCCATTTAAGCAGCAGCAGTTTCATTTCACGGACTCCCATTAACTGAGTGTCTATTGTACATGCAACTAAATCTCTCTGCATGAATTATTTTTTCGGGCAACCTATCTTAAATCAACGTTTTTGTAGTACTTGGGCAATAACCAGAAACATAGGCAATTCACTGCCTCGCCATCACTTTTTGCTGCGTAAACAGCATGTCTTTACTCGCAATGCCTGGTGTCATGTTCTAATAGAAAACATCTGGACCAGTTACTTTTGAGAGCGATGGAGGAACACTACAACAGTCAAACCCCGCTACAACAAAAACTGACGGGATGCGGAAAAAAGTCACTAAAGCAAAAATTTTCTTGTAGAACAATTAGAGAAATCGAAAAATAGCTGATCTGAGCTAGCAAAACAAAAAAACGTTTATTCTCAAAATTCAAAAAGTGTCCACTGTTCCTATTCTTTTCCAGCGGCATTGATTGATTGATTGATATGTGAGGTTTAACGTCCCAAAACCAGCATAAGATTATGAAAGACGGACATAGAGGAGGGCTCCGGAAATTTCGACCGCCTGCGGTTCTTTAATGTGCAGCCAAATCTGAGCACGCGGACCTACAACATTTCCGCCTCTATTGGAAATGCATCCACCGCAGCTGGAATTCGATCACGCGACCGAGTACCTTAGCCACTAGACCACCGCGGCGGGGCTTCTCAGCAGCGTCACGACGTGATTCTCGCCCATGCATCGTGAGGCCATAGTGAAAAGCACACTGAAACAAGGCCTACAATCGCTTTCAGTGAACGAACCAAACAGCTGCATTAACACGTTGACACCAACAACTGTCCGCCGTCAAAGTGTATCCGACAACTCCGAGATGGAAGCAGGGTATGGCGGAGCGGCGACTTTTGCCTTATTCTATGTCATTCTTATCATCCACCACTCGCAGCTAATCAGATTTTGTTGATAATGCAGACGAACAGCTGCTCTGCTACCACAATGGGCAAGCGTGATCGAAATTACATGCATTGACATCGAAAAAGGCATTGTTCCGCTAAGCTGCGTAAAAAAACCATGTAAGAGACTGAGCTTCAGCTTTGGATAGTCTTCGGCTCAAAAGCAAGTCAGTGGCAAAAGCAGAGCAGTCTTATTGCGATCGCTATTGAGCAATGGGGGCGCCCACGCTTGCTGAACAGCAACGATTTCTGGTGGTGCCAACGCGTGTTTTACACTTCGTCGACGTATCTTGAAGTTCTGAAAATGCATCAAAATGTTAAAGACTGTGTTTACTGTATAGCAATAAATATCTGAGCCTGGAATTTCATCGTCAAATTTCGTTGAAGCCGGACGGCAGAAGAAAAAGTGTTCGTTGTGGCGACAATATTTATGCATTAATTCCGATAGAATGCCGACGGCGAATTGTGAATTTTTCGTTGTACCAAAAATTTCGTTGAGCGTCGTTCGTTGTAGCGGAGTTCGACTGTACACCATTAGGAATCGGGGAAACGATGACTCATTACTGCTTTGTAAATGTTTTATAGTATTGAACAGACTCTCATATGTATGAGGCACATCATGCAGGGGTGTGGGTGGCCACCACATGAGACAAAAAGACATGAAGACGCTTGTGGGCGCATGCATGGGGCGCATCGACTGGTCATCTGGTTTTTGTTATTTGCAAAGATTTGCCAGCCCACACCCGCTGCCAGCATTTCCATGAAATACCAATGGTGCTCCGCGGAAAACCTGCGTTTTCAAATTTCCTAGTCAGCAAGCGCTGTTAGAGCTTGCTGTCCACTAAAACGAAAAACGCTTGTCAGGTCTTTTGCCAACAATAAACGTCCATTTTTTGGGGAGCGAGAGATGTATGTAGAGTTTTTCCCTGCAGATAAACGTATGTAGCATTGTTAGTGAGCGACAAACACATGTCACGTTTCTTCACAGCCAAATTCACTGTCATGCTCATATACAGCGGGTGCCGGTGTTGTTGCCAATCTCGCCCGACAGATGCGCTGTTGCAGTGGCACCACCATGAAAACAGTGATGCCGTTGGCGACACGTCATGAAAAAAATGCTGCATATCCGACGAACCGATGCCGACACCTCCTCCTCTAGCCACCATAGCTATACCGTATTTTCACAATAGTCGCAGCAAGTCGTAAAAATGTCAGACTTCAGAAGCGGCACGCACGTGTCGGCAGATAACAGTTTCTGCGACTCTAATGCCTCTGCGGCTGATGTTGTCGGTGCATCGAATAGCACTGAATCTGAGGACTACAACCATTCGTCGGACCCCTCAGAAAAGTTTACTTTACGATTCCAAGTCGACTTCAACCATTCGTCGGACCCCTCAGAAAAGTTTACTTTACGATTCCAAGCCGACTTCACTATTCTGCTCATAGGTAGACTCATTATAGGTTGAGCCCCGAACTTTTGAAGACCATTTCATGAGAAAAATTACGATTTATAATCAGCGATGATATACGGTATGAAGAAAACAGCCCAACAAATGGCTGACGGCATTGGCAGAGCTGAGACACCCCTCCCTACATACTGTAGGAAACTGAAACTGGGAATGTAGGGAAAGAAGAGAGGAAAGAGAAGCACCTTCAAGTAATTCCGATCCAGCTTGCAGACAACAGTTAGTGGGCTACAAACACTCTTCCCAATAAGCCCAGTAGCAGGCTTGGCACCACTAGTGCCTCATCGAAAAAATCACTCTCAAAACACAGCCTGTTTTGCCCCTCCCCAGGTTTCACATGAGTAGTGGTAAAACACCCCTACACGCCTCGAACCTTCCCAATTTTTTTTATGCCTCGCACCAGCCCATGCTTCACACCTCCCCAGGTAACTCGTAAGAATTATCTCCGTAAACATCGGTGCAGTTCATTTCAACAGTCGCCATACTGGAAACGTCTCTGTTAAAGGGGCCCTGCAACACTTTTTGAGCATGGTCAGAAAGCACTGCCGATAGATAGGTAGAAGGCTTCCAAGAACACGCGAGCCAAATGTTATAGTGCAGCACGTGGCCTGGAATTCACAATAAATGATCAAAGTCAGCTCAAAATTACTCTCTTTTTCCTCGACAAATGACGGAAAATGCTCCAAAATAACACATAGATTGCCCATCTATCAGCCATTGGCTGATTTGAACATGGCGCGCTCGGTCGTTACAGAGATCGTTACAGGAGGCAGTCACTTGTCCACGTGTACGCACGCGATCACGCTGAAAAAATTGCATATTCAAACAAAAAGAAAAGAAAGAAAGGCTCAAGGTCACAAAGCACGCACGACGTTTTTTGTTTGCCCCTCCCATCCCTCTATGCTTAGCTACCAGTGCTTTCGTCGGGACGAGAGAAGAGAGAATTCGATTGCAGCGTGTGACAAATCTTTGGAACTCCACTTGTACAGGACGGATTCTTAAAATTTTTGTGCCGTTGAATTTATGAGGCAATAAGCTCTTCTGATAAAATAATGCCATGGTTACTAAAAAAAGTTTCAGGGAGCCTTCAAGCAATAATGAACGCGTGAACATTCAGCACAATATTATAATTCTGACCGCTGAGCCTCCCTTCTCTGTTAAGCAATAATGAATGCCTGAACATTCAGCGCTATATTATTGTTCCGATTGCTCAGCCTCCCGTTGCCCTATTTGACTTTATTGATTGTTCTACTTAGCGTAAAACACCTGCACACACTCGGGAACTTCAGTGAAAACAACTCTTCATCATCGCCAACAAAGTAAGAAAACGTTTGTCTGTCAAACACCAGCATCGAGCTGCAACTCTCGCAGGGTTCAATCAAGAGACTTTACCAAGTTGTAAGTGCGATGAATCCTGGATATAATTTTCCACTCATATTAAAATATTGTATCATCGCTCATTAAACCCCAGAGTGTTGTTTACAATGGGGTTCCCCTGTGCAGTGAAATTACATTGGCATGTGTGAGAAAATTTCTGTTTAACATCTGTAGTGCAGTATCTTGATTTCACATTTGAAAACAGGATCGTAGAAAGTGCAAGAACTACCGTATTTATTCGAATATAAGGCGGTCACGATTATAAGACTGAGGGGGAAGTTGAAAGGACCCAAGAAAAAGAAAAAAGTTTGCACACTAATATAGGGCGAAAGAAACCGAAGAAAAAAGGCAACTAAATTCCTTACCTTTCAGCAAAGCAGACACTAA